TGGATCCAAATCCCAAAGATCGAGTCTCGATCAACCGAATTGGTTTGAATCCACTCGATATTCCTCATTGATCAGCCAAACTTCCATGCGTTTCCCACAGACGGCGCCAATTGAAGATGCAAGAAATTCGTTCCCTCTCTCTCTCTCTAGAATTCTTACACTTCAACCCAAAAAGATCCCCCCTCCTTTCCATTCCTTATCCTATTTATAGATATTTACAAGATATTGACTGATTGCTGGATCTGGGCTTATTCCTCCATAAGTCCTGGTCACCTTTGATGGGCTTACTCGCGTTCGGCCCATATGGCAGTGTCTTTATATGGGCCGACCCAGCTGTACGGACCGAATGTAGTGCTTGCAAGTCGGATCCGGCCCATGTCGTCCGGGGCCTCCTCATAAACGAAGAACTCACCTTAATCCTGATGGTTAACTTAGATGCTTTTGAACCACCATAACCAATCTCCTTCTCTTCTCTAGGAGGGTCGTGATGATGATGATGATGATGAGTTCACTTTAGCTGAAACAAAGCTTAAAAACAATAGTAATAGACTAATAGTTACGTAGTACTAGTTTTTATTTATTTATTTTGCGGTTGATGCAGAGTTGTCATTTGCTTGCCGCCGAGAGAAGCGTCCTTCCTTCCTAGGGTTTGTTTTGTTTGAAAGGAGAGAGAATACAAGGGATTAGGTTAAGCTGGAATACTTAGGATGGGCTTGAGTTGGTGATGGGCTTCATATATTGGGTTTTTGAAAAGGAATAAATGAATTGGATTGAGCTGGGCTTGGCTTAATAAAGAAGGTAAAATGATTTAGTGGTGCATTTTTAAGAGCACACCAATCACACACCCATGACCGTTACTTCTTTCAATTCATAATTTTGTTAACATGTTATATTGAGTAGATAGAACTGAACTAAATTAGTAATCTTCAGTAACATGACTGTAATTTAGTTTAAGTTGCTGAACTTAAGTTGCACTCCTTATGCAATGTTGGTGAGAGATTTTACTTAATGTATAATAACATATTATTAATTTTTCGTATCAACATTAGAACCTTTCGAGAAAAAAAGTTATCAACGTCAGAACAGAAAACGAGACACATCTTCATACATCAGAATGCTAAGAAATTGTTAATGAAAATTGAGAACGCATATGAGTAGTTTCGAAGGCTAATAGACCTTATGTTTCAAGAAATTATTATATGATCCGAGATTCCATGATCTTTGTCAATCCCAACTCGACATGCAAAAAAATATGTAAGCTTCATGATTTTTTACTTGCATGTCACGTTGTGATTTATCAAGACTGTATTTTCAAATCATATAAAAATTTATCTCATGTCTCATCCTGTTCGGAAAAGCTCACCTGGTAATGAGTTGAATGATGCTTACGACTCGACCACTCACAAGTGTGACCGATTTTCACTAATTCAAAATTACTCCGGATTAATTATTGTGCTTGTTGCATTGACATGTGAAAATTTTCAGATTTATCTAAAATTAACCTGCTGGTAAATTGGGTTCCACCTTGAGAATTTGTGAGGACTTCTTATGAGAACACCCCCAAAATCATAAATTTGTTAAAAGAAAGCAAAATACAATGATTAGATTTACTAATTAGAAGATCAATTAAGTTGAATTAAGGTCCCTAATACGTGGTCCGTGGAGTGAGAATGATTGAAGTGCTTGACAAAATTCCTCTTAGTAGAATCTTCACTGCGGTCCACAACATGCGAATGGCACACAACAAACAAACAATGATTTTGTCCGACTCATAGGTTTGGTGTCCTGGGTCCCACTACCCTCTACATATACACAAAGCAATGCGGTGATGGTCCATGGCTAATAAGTGACCCTATGGAATTAGGGTCGTTTTGCTTATACAGGTTATCTAAAACCAAACAAGTCACCATCCTTTCCCGTGTGAATGATCACAAGGGCTTGAGCCTCAATTAGATACACAAAAAAACACACGAGAGCCGTCGCGGTGTCATGGCTTGTTTGTGGTCGGTGTAAGCTGATGAATCCGTCACTTCATGGAGATATACAATAATATCGAATCATTGAAAAATATTACAAATCAAATAATATGTCACATATTGTACAATACAGTGAATCATGCACACAAATATATATATATATATATATATATATATATATTTATTTATTTATTTATTTCTGATTTTCTTGCCTCCAAAAATAAAACTAAAAAACTAAACGTGAAATACCAAATATAAAAAAGGAAAAATTCTGAAAATTGTTGGAGTTTGATAATCGATTCTCTACTCTTCTTTAAGTTTATAGGACAACTGGTAATCTAACATCCTATCAAAATTTTGTTTCAAAAAAATTTAATTTTATTTGGTCCGTTTTGTTAACCACGTACAGGTAGGCATGAAGCTTGGAACCTGATTATATCAGGGTGAAATGTAAAAAAGATAAGGACAATTTGTCAGTTTGAATATTGAAATACTTAAAATGCTTGATAAAATAAAAATAAAAATACTTATTTTTTTTTTTTTTTATGTCTAAGGGAATTTGGAGGGTTTAATAATAATAATAATAATATAAAAATAAAATAAAATAAAATTGTCAAAATTGACATGACATTATGAGGCAATTTGGACATTACAAGGGTGTTTTTTTGCACAATTTTTATATACAAAATTTTTTTTTCCCTAATTTTTTGGAAATTTTTTTTTAGTATAAGTAAAAATATAATATATAGTATATATAGTATAAAATGTATACTTGGCCCCCTTAAGAAAAAAAAATTATTTCTTTAATTAGAATTTAACAAAAGATAGTTTATATAGTGGTTTAATTAACGACTATAGAATCTCAATAAAAATTAATTCACATAAAAATTTAATGGGTCTATCTTAAAGTTTCAACTCAAATACCGTTTTTTCCATAATGTGACAAACACAATTCTTTCCATAACCTTATTATTCTAAAATTTCATCTCATACATGATTGTTTCCATCACTTTTTCTTCTTTTTTTTTCTTTTTATTCATTTTTATTGAAATGCTTTTATAAGAATTTTATAAGAAATTAATTTTTACAAAATCAAGAACAAAAATTTCATTTGAAGTTTTGAATATCAACAAAAATCGATGATTTAAGAATCTAAATTTTTATTTTATTAATTTGTTTGTGTTTTTTTTTTATCATTGTTATTGTTTTGTTAAATTTTCAATTGTTACATTTTTTTAAAAGTTATTTTTGTTTTTTTTTTTCCTTTTCGGTAAATAAAGAGAGTTATTTAATTGAATTTTTTTATAATTTTAGCATAAATTTTATTTGTGTTTGTTCAGAAAGTCTGATAAAAAATTTCTTTAAATAACTAGTTTTTTTTTATTTAAATAAATTGAGAAAAGTTTAAATAGATATATTTTTGTATGAATATAATAAATAATAAAATATTTTTAATATATATATTTTTTTTTCAAAGTTCTAGTTAGGTAATGTTGTTTATAATTTTGGCTCCCCCAACCTCAAAATTCTAGCTCCGCCCCTGATTGGGTCCATTCTCTAACACAAACATTTGGAACGATTAGTAACCCAGTAGGAAGGTTTATGAATTGAGCCATTGTAGATAAAAATGACTAATTCAGTGTATGAATTTTTTGTCATTGTGAGTTTTGAGAAGGGATACTGTCATATAGAGAGACTCTTTTTTATTTTAAATCTGTAATTTTTAAGTAACAACGGAGCAACTTTATTACTGTGTCAAAACTCACTCTTGCTTGAGCCAACTGTCGCATGTGTAATTATAAAAGAAGAATGTAGTTGCGTTTGGTATATTCCATTTGGGCTCGGCTCCTCTGCGTTCTACCTTTAGTCCGCTTTTGTCCTCTGTGCCATCGAGCGGTGGACATGCAGCCACGTCAGGTAGAGTTTGATCTCCCCCAAAAAAAGAAAAAAAACAGAAAACTTTTATGGAAAATGCACCAGTTTTGTTTGCAAAAAGGAAGAATATACATCTTAATGGCGAGATTACCCTTCGGATCATCTCTCCCCCCTCCTCTCTCTCCCTCTCTCACACTACTGTCCAGTTCTTTATCTTATTCAAATTTTGCTTTAAGGATTTCAAAAACCTAATATTTCTTTCTCTCTTTAATTTTTTTTCTCCTTTTCATCCTTTTCTGAATTTTTTATCCTATTTTTTTTTTCCTTCAAAACCCTAAATTTCAGAACTCTTTATTAGTGTTCATGATTTTTGGATTTATATGTATATATAAAGACAGGTGTGGAAGTATTTGGTACATGGTTCGCAATCTCTAATTTTTTTTCTTCTTTTCATCCTTTTCTGAATTTTTTATCCTATTTTTTTTTGTCTTTCAAAACCCTAAATTTCAGAACTCTTTATTAGTGTTCATGATTTTTGGATTTATATGTGTATATAAAGACGGGTGTGGAAGTATTTGGTACATGGTTCGCAATCACGATTGCGGTATAACGAATTCGAACAAAATCAATATAAACTGACCGAGACAGATAACATATCAAACCTAAAAAAGAGTCACGTATCACTCGAAATATGACGTATCTAACGATGCAGCAAATCATGATCTAGTGAGAGACTAAAGATAGAAACGTATGGCCCTTAATATGCTCCCCAAAAAAAAATATTTGAGTTATGTTTTGCTACTCAATGTCTAGAATCCAATTTTATTTTCATAAATTTGATTAGTATATATGCTAAGAATTAGTTTTTAGATAGAATAAAGTACTAGTTGTAAGACATAAATCAAATCAAACTTTTTAAACTCAAATCCAATTTGAACTCTTGAGTTGGGTTAGCTTAAGTTGAAGATTAGACCAGCTTAAATTAAAGTTTTATGCTGTGAATCAAGCCTAAACTTCCTCATCAATTGAACTTTCTCACTGAGTTTTCATATGTCGGTTTTTACAGGGCCTAAAACTACTATGCCAACCACTCTCTTTTTCGTATTTACCGTTGATTGTTCATCATTGAAAAGGTATGGTGTAGCACCAAAGATAAGACCCCTTACTAGTACTATGCCCCGAGCCACCACTACTGCTCCTTTCTCTCTCCTCTCTCTCTCTCATCAGTAGTACACAGTAGCTTCTGTTCTCTTTACTTTCCTCATACCCAACTCTCAGTTTTCCTCCAATTTCTCAATCCCCATCCACATTTTCTCGGAAATGAAGACAATTATCTCCAAAGGGAAGCCCTCTTCTGTGATTCTTACTCTTCTGATAATTTTATTATCACCAAACGCGTCACAATCCACTTCAAATTCATGGGTCGGATCCAAGTACCAGATCGAATGCACAATGTGCTCCTCCTGCGACAACCCATGTAACCCCTCCCCTCCACCACCCTCTCCGCCGCCACCGTCGGTACCAAAATCCCCCAATTGTCCTCCGCCGCCTTCTCCGCCAAGCTCAGGGGGGGCGTACTACTACTCCCCGCCGCCACCATCTCAGCCCACCTACACTAACGCGCCGCCTCCGCCGAGTGGTTTCATCGGCGGCGGTTACTATCCTCCTGCGTACAACAATTATCATACGCCACCTCCGAACCCGATTGTTCCCTACTTCCCATTTTACTATCATGTCCCACCACCTGGTGTACGCTCTGCCTCTGTTCAATTGACAAGTTCTCTAGCTTACACGATTGCTCTGTCTTTCGTTTCTCTCTACTTATTTTGAAGCAAAGATCGAAAACTCAGTTGGAATAAGGTGGCAGATTTGCAGATCTACAAGCTTGATGGTGAGAGAAAGTGATGGTCTTGAGAATTTTCTGATCTCAGAAAAATACACACAATCCTGATGCATAGAATAAGACACTACTCTGTGGAAGATGAAAGCAAGAATGATAATGAGGACTGAACTCAAGTAATCTTTTTCTCTCTAGCTGTCTGTAGTATTCTGTAATTTGTTGACAATTTATGCCTTTTTTAAAAAATTTCTATCTATTGCTTAATATTTGTATAATTGTAAGGAAATTAGTCATTTTTGCTTTCAATTATGAAATGTGGAAAAAAGTTTTAAAAAAAATTGTCTTTCTATTGATCATAAATTTCCTCTACCTTTTCTGTCTATTGCTTAATATTTGTATAATTGTAAGGAAATTAGTCATTTTGCTTTCAATTATGAAATGTTGAAAAAATAAAAAATAAAATAATTGTCTTGATCATAAATTTCCTCTAACTTTTACCTAGTGGAAGATTCAGATGTTCTTGTCCAAGTGGGTGAGTGTAATTTGTGAGGCCCATTGAAAAAAAAAAAGTAATACATACACACACACATATATATATATGAGATAGATATGATGTAAATGTTATGTATGGTTGTTGATTAATTAATGCTAATTATTTCATATTAGCTGAGTAGTAGCAATTGAGTTGCTGGTGTTTTTAAGAGTGATTTGGGTATATTTTCTTATGGGGTTTCTAGAACTTGTGTGGTAAGAGCATTGAATTGGGAATGGTACTGCTTATAAATGTTGTATATCTGAAAAATATAAATTCAGTGACATAAACACAGTTGAACATCTAATTCAAAAGAGTGTGATTAATACTACTATATCTTCTTGTGGTTCCACATTACAAAAGTTTCAACTTTTTCTCCATTGTGGACCAAAAGTTTCCACTGTTTTGAGATGCTTCTCCTAGGCTCTCTGCATTATTAAAAGTCTTTTTTTTTTTTTTTAATTTTTTCTTTTCTTTTTCTTTTTTGGATCTTTTCATAGATCCTCTGCAATTCAGGTGCAGCTCCTACCTTCCATTATGTACTTGAGGGACTACGAAGCCTGTATTATTTGGTCAAAAAGGTATATCTTGTAGATACATACACACGTATGGTAGAAATATGGTTTAAAAGTTTAATCATGCTAGGATCTAATTGACTGCTGCAACCGACAGCTCTAGAGTACAAATCTTAATCACTAGCTTAATGCCAAGGCTTTCACCTCATACGTTGCGGTTGGATTCAAATTTCCATGGGGATTAATGTCCAAAAACTTTGCGTCACAACCCGGTCCATGTGTATATATCTCACCCTTGGAGTTGGAACCCGCATTTTTGTTGGTATCCGAAAATTAGGTGTGACAAAATTTAACACGATCCGTCAGCACGACTCAAACACAACACGAGTTAAATAGATTCGGGTTAACCTTAAACGAGTTCAGATCGTAAACGGATCGACACGATTAACTAGTTTAATTAATCGTGTCATTTTTGAGTTGAGTGGATCAACCCATGTAACTTATTAAGATCTGTTTAATTATACATGTCATAAACAAATTTCTATTAAGTTTTAAAATAACTATTTAAACTTATATCTTACTTTTCTTCTATTTAATGTTTGATTGAATATTATTAATAATTTAAATAATAAAATATTATTTTATTAAATGTGTAACTTGTTTAATAAATAAGTTAAGTTAGTGTTGAGGGTTCCTGACACTTATATATAATTTATTTTTGACTTGATATATGGCATGGTCATGACTTAGTTCTTGTCATATATTTATTTGAGATCAATTAAACAACTTTGAAAGATTGTTAAACGAATGGTATTCGGGTTAAGTTGTTTAGTAGAATATATTTAAATCGACACGACACGATTATAATTTATGAACACGAATTGCTACCTCTGTTACGGATCGAATTTGATACAGTCAGTTAGACACTCTTTACATTGTGTAGATATTGTTTACTCAAGTTTTTTAAAATCACGTCTATAAAGTTAAAGAGATGTGTACACGTGTAAGTGTCAATAAACTCTTTCATAAACGATGTGGGATGCCAACGCATAATGGAGAGAGACAGAGACACGGGATTGTGGATGATAAGCTGGATGCTGTGAATTCAGGCCTATCAAGTTGAAGACACACTTTCACAAGGTAAAGGTGTGTGTGGAATGAAACCCAATAATGGAGAGACACTTGGGACATGTGGTTGTGGATGATAAGCTGGATGCTGTGTTTTGTCACAGAGCTGGGTCCACTCAATTTGGCAAAAAGGATTAAATATGAGACAACAATTTTTTGTCTTTTGTTTGGTCTTAAAAGACTTTGTTGAAGGGTAAATCAGAAATTAAATCAATTTTATAGAATTACTGTTGCTACTTATAATTTTGATAAACTAACTAGGTAAATTATAATCAATTGAAAGACTTTTGGTTTCATTCTCATTATTATTTTCAGTAATAAATTACATGTCTAATTTGAAATGAGATGGTAAGATAATACATGTCTAATTGGGCCCAGATATGTTAGGCTCCATATTGGGTGTTTTAGGTGGCCCAAGATTTCAATCAAACACTTCCAAAAGCTTAAATGAATTTGGTTCTTACACTACATCCTAATTGCTTCTAAGAAGTTCTTTATGACAAGAAGCTAATGATTTGGTGCTTTTAAACTCCTCATAACAAATTATTACATGGTGTAATTCAACACTTAAACAAAAAAATAATTAAGTTGAAATCTATTTAGATACATGTCGGCTAGGAGTAGTGATTGGCTCAATAATTTCTCAATATAGTCCGACTAATCACAACCTATAAATTTGTACCTTTCTTTACATATTAATTTGGTTTTTTTTTTTTAATTTTTTTAAGTAGTATTGTAGTAAAAGGAAAGAAAACAAGAACCAAGTACCTCCCACAAAATTACCGAAAACCCACTGAATTTACCTGGCTTAAAAAAACATGGAACACTACCTTATTTTAACCAAAAGGGAATGATGGAGGAAAAGGATGACGAGAATAACTTTTACCTCTTTTAGATTTGAGGGAATTGAAAGCATAAGGACCTCATCTTATATCTGTTTCGAGGGAATTGAAAGCACAAAGATCTCATCTTATATCTGTTTTTCTTTTTTGTTAAAAAAACCAAAAAAAAAAAAAAGGAAGAAAAAAAAAAAAAAAAAAAAGTGGAATAGCATGACCTTTTTATTGGTGTATTGACTTTTCTTTCTAAAGTGGGAATATTTAAAAGGAAATAATAAGAGTGGATGCTTATTAGTTGTTTAGCTCTTGTTTTTTTAAAACAAATAAATTCTAATCGACCTATCAATTTCCTAAGAAAAACATTATAAGTAAAATGTACTCTTCTTTTTCTAAAATGTATGCTGAAATAAAAATGCTAAAAATACTTATAATTTGTAAGTTTAGGCTTCACCATTTCGACAAACTCACTCAATTACACGAATGTGTTTGAATTTGCTCTTGAAACCATATTTATCCTTGCAAGCAATGACCACTTAAAGACAATTACACAAATACATGTTAAAAAAAAAACAAACATAACAAACAAATTGAAAAAGAAAAAAAAACCATATCCTACTGAAAAATAAAGAATTATAATTGATCTCGTATTCTTACATTCCTCTTGCTATTTTTGTCTTTCTTCAAGAGACTCACAATAATAATACTAATAGTTAGAAGACCATAATAATGATAATAATGATAATGAACTAATCCAACACATAACTTAATTCTGAAAGAAGACACAAAATTCACTCAGAAAAAGGCATAGGCACTGGTAGGTAATTTTGAAGAAGTGATGACAACAAATACATAATCGTCATTTTCATTTTTACTAACACTAATCCACTAATAATCTGGATACTAATATTACTAACACTCTCCACTAACTCTAAGCATAGAATGAGCCACAAGAAAGAGCCATCAACAGTACGGCGGCTTGTTCTTCCTCTCCCAGCTTCCTCCTCTGCTTCCCCACCACTTTTGATCTCTGCAACACCACCTCTTTCCCTAACGCCCACAACTTCCCCTTCAACGTATCGCCCAATTTAGGGTTATTTCCATTGCCACTTCTGTGGTGGTGGTGGTGGTGGTGGTGGTGGTTGTTTTTGGCGGCGCTTTTCTTCGATTTCTTCTCCTCTGCAGCTCCTCTGTTCAGACCCAGAAGTGCCCTTCTCTTCTTCCTGCTTCTGATCCCACACGCATTGCACAGTGACTGATACATATACAACACAGATCACATGATCAAAATCAGAACAATATACACAAACATATATATATATATATATATAAACATAGATTTGTGTGGTATTGAAGTTGAATCTGATACCTTGGGACCAGCTGGGCCACCTCTCCAGAGAGGGGTTTTGGTGGTACCACAATCAGCACAGGTCTTCACATTGCTTCCATCTGATGAAACCCTATCTGAGGTTTTGCTACTCATTTCTTCAGATTCTGATCCCTGAAAACAAACAATCAAAATAAAACAAATCAAATCAAACTCTGATCATAACATAATCACGTCTACACATGTAGATTTACATGTATCTACACGTATGTAAGATGGATCAGTGAAAACATAGATAGGAAAGCTCGTGATCACTCACCTTATCACTTGGATCCACCATGTCGATCAACTATTTGGGAGATCTGAAACAAACACGGAATAAATCGATAGCTCGAGTGCTCAAAACAGACACCGAATGACTTGAATAACCCAATCAAACCCTAATAAGAGCAGACTTATTGGGATCAGAACACAGCATACTCAGAGAGATCGAACCAAATCTCTGCCAAAACAACGAAAGACACAGAAAAACAGAGTAAATCAGAGCTATAGAGCACAGTAGACCAAAGTATTTCCTGAATAGAAATGAACAAGAGAAAGAGAGAGAGATTGTTGAAGTGAGCGGCAGTGAAGTGTCTATGAATGAATTTGGACGAGGACTGAACGTAGAGAGAGAAAGAGATGTAGAGAGAGAGTTTTAGAGGGAGAGTGAACCGACAAAGCACCACGGCTAGCCGATCTAGAAAAAGAATCCTTATCAGCGAGTCGGGAAAACCCTAAAAACCGATATTTGAAATGACGAGAATACCCTTGCTTCCTAAATTTTTTGATCCCCGCCAAAACTTTCTCTGAATGGGAAAGGGCGCGATTGAATTATTTTCAGGTGGCAATTTATGGTAATGATACGGTGTTACAGCTACATTTCCAATCACATAGAGTTTATCAATCGCACCGTTTAGTGTGATCATATTGGTAGGCGGTGTAATTGAGATCAATTAATGTTAAGAGAAAGTTTTATCGTATCCGGGTACTTACTATGTGATAAACCAGTCAATAGATTAAATTCGGATCAAAATTTGATTCGATTATTCAGATATGAATGAACAAAAAATCGAACAATCCAATTACAATTCAAATCTAAATCCAAATCCAATAATTCGATTCCTTAACAAATCGGATATGAAATTATGCTGATTCGATCCGATAATAATTCAATCCGATTAAATTTATTTATATATATATATATATATAATAATATTTTATATTATATGTATATAATACTTCTATCAAATTTATATTAGATGTAACAAAATAATAATAATAATAAGTAATCATAATGTTATATATACAATAGTATGGTGTTCTCATCCACATATTAACAAATTTTCTAATATACATATTAATAATGTTAAATATTTATTCTTTAACAAAGGCTAAATAATCTATTTTTTGTTTCCTTCTGTATTTTATTTATTTATTGTTTTCTATCATTGTTTTTTATTCTGTTTTGACACTAATTTTTTTTCTTTTTTTATATATAAAAAAAAAATAAACTTTTATCAAATTAGATTGGATTATTTGATCGAATATTCGTTTATTAACAAATCGGATATGAATTCACTTACAAAAATTTCGTCGGATCAGATCAAGCCAAATGTGTTTCCGAATTCAACCAGTTAACAAGTCTACCATGTGATACTCGGCCAATGGATGATCATTAATTTTCTTGAAAATTTTTTATTTCTCTATTATCAACACAAATAAATTTTTTTTATGATCATTTATTGATCGGAGTATCACATATATGAGATATTCAAGTTGTTCAAAAACTAGTGAAATCATTTTGGGTAAGTTTTTCAATTCATTCATAAATTATTCTAATATGATAATATAATTTTACATTCATTGTCACAAAGAACAATTTTAGCATCCCTTAGAAACTTGCAAGTCTGTGAGTTGGAGTTGGAATAAAAGTATGTAAACAATATTATTATTAGATGAAAAGTGAGACTAATTGTCCATCTTTCTATTTTTAGTTGTCTCATTTCAAAACCCAATGCACTCTATTTTGTTATATTTCCAATTTATCCTTATAATCTTGAAAAGGATAAAAATCATTATGGACCCACCAAGTCAAAGCAAAGTGTAAAATTATGTAATAAAGAAATATTAAAAGTCAATCTCTTAAAAAGTTTGACTTACAATCATGCATGCACATTTAAAATGGGGTAAATTGCAAATGAAAAAAAAAAAAAAAAAAAACCCTCGTAAGTACAAAACTGTGCAAATAACACCTCTGGTTTAGTATAAAAGGTGAGCAAATAAAGATTTCTTGTAACTAAAAAAGACCCTTAAATACTCATATTACCCTTTTGCATTACATAAACTACCACTTATTCATTTTCCTCTCATTTCTATATATAATATATATAATATTCTTATTTAATTGTTTTTTTTTATATATAATAGAGATATTTTCTCTCTCTAAATAATTTTCATTTTCTTAATTTTTTTATTTTTTATTTTCTATCCTCTCTAAAGTCTCTTTCTCTCTACATATAAACGGCTCTTTCTCTCTCTATAATAGATGTTTCTATAATTACAGTATCAATATGATGGGAGTTTTTTGTACTCTCTAACCATAAATACTATATCTACACTTAATATTTAATATAGGACGATGCTTTGACATGGCCCAATGAAATTGCAACAAGTGTCTAAAAATAAATATAAAATTAAGTGCACTGCCCATCTATTTCACCCATCTGTATTTTTTATTTTATTTTATTTTTCCTTCTCAATCTCTTATAGTCTGCCGCCTTCGCCTTCTTCCTCCTCCTCATCACCGACGACTGGACACTGTGGTCGACGACATCCCAAATGCTCACTTTGGCATCGCCGATACTAAAGCACCACCATTAAAGGGCGGTAGCATCACCACCATCGACGGTAGAGGTAGCAAATAGGAATACACATGGTTCAGTTCGGTACAGTTTCTGTCGGAATCGGTCACAACGGTTCCTTAACAATGGAACCAAAATCGTTACATATGGAACCGAACTGTGAATACCATTTTAGTTCGGTTCCACGGTTCCCCAACTATATATTTTTATTCCCCAATAGAGTTCCCATGGAGGTTTTTCTGGCACAAATGACACGAATTAAGGAAATTAGAGGCAAAAATATTGGCCTCATCATATTTATATCATGTGTTGCCGGAGACACACTGTCAAAGATACGCTTCTTATTCTTACTAGTATAAATCTTGTTTCTATTAATATGACATAGTCATGATGATCATCACATATTGATTAATTTTTGTGACGATGGTAATTTTTGGATGATAAATTTAATTAATAATATATATATATATATATATATATATATATATATAATTAAATATATAATCATATATATGTGGGGTTCGGTTCAGTTCCCACGGGTCCGGAACCAAAACCTAACCGTAAAACCACGATTTGACCTGTCAACAGGTCGGATTCAGACCGGATCATGATCAATTCGAACCAAATCCGATAAACAAAATAAATGATCTAGTCCGATCCAACGAATCCTTTCATAATCAATTCATATCCGATATTAACAGTATCAGATGTCCGATCCGATTATATATTATACAAATGCAGTTTGAAGAAATAAAAATCAAACAAAATGATCCAAATATACCAAATATCAACATGTATTTGATCTATGAAATTCATCTGTGAAGGTCATTCCATTGCTGAAAATATGCTTAATTTGGTAAAACAAAGAGAATCAAAGTTAGGGTATTAAAAGAGAGGGAAACAGCTTTTGTAATACATACCAAAAATAACCAAAATGAGAGAACAATTGAGAGGGAAAAAGAAATTGAAAAGTGAAAGAAAAATTATGAAAAAACATAAAAGAAGGAAAATAAGGGCTGGATAGGAGAAAAGGAAGAATACAAGAAAAGTGAGAGAAATAAGTAACAAACAAAAAAAATTACTTCGCAAGCATTCCAACCATGGTTTCGGCAATCCATTGCTAGCTTGCCCTTCCTCTTCCACTTCCGGCAGTCCATCCGCGGCCTCCCCAATTCCCCTTCACTTTCGCCTCTCAGTTTTCATCGTGCCCTAAATTAGGTGATATACAACATATGTATATTGGGAGAGTTCTATTTTGTGAGTAAGAACATCATTATAAGTTACAACTAAACAAATCCAACAGTCATATCTGATATATATATATACATACATACATATATACATATAAAAGTATAATTATTTATAATTTAAATTGAATCGGATCGGATTATTATCGGATCAGATTGGCCTAATCCACATCTGATTTGTTAAATTAATGGGTTATTAGATTCGGATCATTATCGGTTATCAGATTTTTTATTCAATCCATATCCGTTAATCGGTTCGGTTCCATGATTTTTTTGTACATCCCTAGCAGCAACAACATCCACATTCCTATAACAGTCACTACCATCCCCACCCCACAACCACCATCTATGCACGCACATGAGCCAAATTTATATGTTAATCCACTGGAATCATATTTGGCCATCAATTGATGTCAAATGTAACCAAAATCAACCAAAAAAATTAATTTAAAAATGCAACGAATCGAAACCCAAAAGCCACTTATACACGCGCATATACTGTCATGAACCGTGTAAATCCACCATTGCTCCACTCTCCATCTCTTCTTCATCCACGCCTTTTCAATGCCCTAAATTACAGAACCCAAATCCTTCAAAACCCTAGAAAACACCATCTCAACTCCCCTTCAACCTCAACCTCATTTTATTATTCCTCTTTCTTCTGTCCCGTTGCCGTCGTCTTCATCACCGCCTCAATCCCAAATCCCAATTCAAATCCAATCACTGATGCCGAACCCACCTCTCTGTCGGATTCGAAACTCCAAATGGCTATCGATATCAAACCCTTGAACAAAGTTTCATTGTTTGTTAAAAGGTTCTTAAGTTTCTCTGAGTTGGAGTTCAATTGGTTGGTTTACTCTAGTAATAAGGTGGAGTTAGTTATGAAGCTGGACGTGAAGACTAAAGAGAAAGAAGGAAAGAATAAAAGAAAAGAAAAAATATAGATGGGTTATACCCAGAAATAGATGGGGAATGCCCAACTTTTATTTTATATTATTTTTAGACCCTTGTTGCAATTTTATTGGGCCACGTCACTTGCTGCTTCATGACCCAAAATGTTGTAGTTTAGTGAAATATCTATTTAAGTAATTTTAACTTCTAACTATATTTTATTATTATTATATAAAGAATATTAGAGGGCATTTTTGTATATTTACCTATCCCTCTAATAGAAAGTCCTTATTTGCTCACTTTTCAAACTACTTGGGATTTGAACGCCAAGAATATTATTTGCATAGTTTTAAAATCACAAAAGGATTTTTTACACTTTACCCATTTAAAATGATAAGGAAGTCAGTCGAACACTTGGCATTCATGGGTTGGAATTTATAGATGCAAAATTATTGGCTCTCAAGTGTTTGTGCCAAGTAGCATGGTCCTTATTTGATAATGGTTCATTTACATGTTTATTGAATGCATCATTTCCATTAACAACTTGAATTGAATTGATAGTGCTTGGAGGTTTATAACAAAGGATGCCATTCACCTTAATTGCGCGAGTTCCACGTGGAGGCAATAAAATATTGTAACATTCCAGCCATAATAAGGAAATCATACGCATCCCCTCTTGTTTTGTTTTTCAATATTCACTTTTTAAAAAAAAAAAATCTCAAAGTAAACGGATTTTTAATCTTAATAAAATAAATAAATAAATAAACCACTAGCTTGTTTAGTACGGGGATAAGTGAAAACTGAATTTTCAACACTTGTCTTTTTAAAAATAAAAAAAAAATGAAATTTGAGCAATAAAGTAGTTGTGACGTTTGGCAAAAGAATTTAACCACTTTTGGAAGGCATGCATGCAATTCGGTTAGAGTGAGAAGGTGGGTAATAATAACTTTCGTTACCAAACACGTTGGCGGCTGGAAGAAATTGATGGACTGTACCAATACTCGTTCGGTGAAAATAAATATAAATACTAATAAAAAATAAAATTTACTTTTACCACCAGTGCCGTCACATCCCAATCATTTTACATCTGTAATTTAGTTATCCTATCCAAAAAGAAAAAGGAAATTAATTGTATTATAACTCCTGCTGCCCATTAATTTTTCCATGCTGAATATTTTCTGCGTCTTAATTTAAGTGTTGTTTTTTAAGAGTAATAATTTTTAATAGGACATACATTGTTAGCTTGAAAGGTTACTAACTTGTCTTTTAAATTTTGAATATTTAAATTTAAAATATTATTTGAAAATAAAAAAAAACTATTATTTCAGAATAGACAAAAATAAAAAAACATGACACTTATTTTAGTACGAAATATTTAACTTCTTCTAATAATACAAGCTTGAGTCCAATTCATTTTCAATTTTTTATTCTACCCAGAAATATATATAAATATAAGCTCATTTGTGTATAAAAATAAGCGAGTTGTAAATGATTTGATGGGCCTATGCCAATGAATATGCTTCATACTTTTATAAAGTGGATTGACAAAGACACAAAATTTATTGTGGGTTTAAAGTTGTGAACTCTTTTGGAACAATGTAACACCATTTACTTTCCACGCTTATATCATCGACGTGGGCTTGGATGATAAAATATATTAAAAATAACTTAATTGTTTAAATAAATAAAAGGTGTCTTAGCTTGTCACTCACTGTTCTAACATCGTCTATTCACTTTACGTTGTAGTTCAATATCTCTCAAAAAAAAGATAAAAAAAGATAAGGACTGTTTGATACTTTCTTAAAATTTCTTCTCCATTGTTTTTAGTACAGTTTCTTTATTTATTGTTTAGGATGATGATGAGAATAATTTCTTTTAAATTTCAATTACCAATACAAATTGCAAATTATTTAAACTAATTCACCTTCAATTTTTTAGATTCAAGAAACTGTCTGTCATAAAAGCAATACCACATGTTTTTTATTTTATTTTTATTTCAACTTTTAGCAACTCTATTTCATATGTTTGCTCAAGACTTGATCGAGTTCCAATTTTCCAAATGATCACATCTTATCTTCTCTTAAAATAGGATTTCCAAATGGTCGAGTTAGGTATACTAATCTTATTTTCATATCTATTTTCATATGTTTCACAGATCAATTTTACATTGAATATAAATTATTTTTAACAACGTGCATTTACATGTGTAATTTTACTACTATAAGAAAATATGATAAATTCAAAGTAATATTTTTCATCATTAACTCCTAAAATAAAAGAAAAACAATTACAAAAAATCAGGTGCTTGATTTGACCAGTCTAATCAATCTTACTAAAGAAAGAAAAATTAAACCCTCCAAAATTGGAATACATGATAAATCTTACGTTGTCCATATTCCACAACTTCTCCACATGTATATTTACTTTGTTTTTTTCTTTTTCTTTTTTTCTTTTTCCCTCAAATTTTTTTAACATTGAAATGATTCCAATAATTGAATCAAAAGCCATGAGAGCTAATTAAAAGAGTCTTTATATCTCTTCAATCTTTGAATGTAGAAACCATAAATTTGCAATATCCTCATCATGTCTAGCCAATTAGTGATCCAATTTTCATAAAAAAAAAAACCTTAAACACATATAAATATTCATACCCCACTTCGATCTCTCTTTGTCCCTGTAAAATTCTATTTCCTCTTCTTCTAACTCTCTACGTTCTGGTAGAGAGCTTCAAAGTCGACAATGTCGTCTTCGTCATCATCAACATCATCGCCATACACCAGATCAAAACGGCGCGTCGGTGATCTAGAGATGAAAAGAAGGAAAAGGGTGGCCACATACAAGGCCTATGCCATGGAAAGTAAGGTGAAAGCTTCCCTACGTAGCAGCTTTCGTTGGGTGAAGAACAAGTGCTCATCGGTCGTGCATGGACATAATTAGTACATGCATGCATGCATGCTTTTCTCGTTGGACAGAACTGCCCCCTTAATATCATGGTATTTGATTGTGTAATGCATATCTGTTTTCGTCATTTTCACAACATCATTATCTGTCCAATACTTGTGTTGTTAATGAACCATGTCAATCCTGGAACTTCTATGTGCGTGTGGAACATACACATTCTCTTTGTGCATAAAATGAGATTGAGTTGAAATTCATGGAAGATGAAATGGGAGTCGACATACACATTTCTGCGTATGTGTGTGTTTGTGTGTGTGGTTTAAGCTTCAGAAATCACGAGTCTAATACATAACCTAGATAATGGCATTATGGCCTCTAGTGCTTAAGAAGTAATATTGGCATAATGTTTCCATTAGTTGGTTTAGAATAGGAAACAGGATATATATTGAGCAAATACTATTCATTTGAGATGCAAATCTACACCATGAGCTGGTACATACATACATGTGTGTGTGTATATATATATATATATATATATACACAATTAAATCATGGAATGTGATATTTTCTCACATTTCAAAATAGAAGTTTCAGGATTCAAATTCCATTCTATAGCTTAAAATATCTTCTAAAATAGAATTGAATCACCCTTTTGAAAGAAGTCATGAAATCGTGTAATTCTCAGTAAATTTATTTTGTCTAATCATAGCTTTATATAGTTTCTTCTTTCATTTTAAATATTCTCTTAGAGGCGACAAGTCAGTTTCTTGCAAAAAAAAAAAAAAAAAAAAAAAAAAGGTGTTAGGATTGGTGGGCTCAAGCCCACCCCGAAAAAAAAAAATTTTAACCCACCCCCATTAGCAATTTCGGATCCATCATTGCTCATTCAGAGTTTAAAAGATTGTCTTTAGAGTCACCTTACCTTTTTTAATTCCGTATAATTTTATTATGTCAAATCATAGCTTTATATATAGTCTCCTCCTAGCGAATTATTTCAAATATACATTTTAAATCATGAGCAGTATAATACAATAAAAGGGGACGAAATTTTGGATGTCCATGCTATCTTGATACTAAACAGTGAACATATCATATTAGATCATATCTACTTATTTTTGACCTTTTAAAATAACTTTGACAACAAATAATGAAGATAAATTTAAAATAATTAACTTTTCAGATAATGTTGATTTAAACACAACACTCTGAATTCTGAGTTCAAGCACAAGTAATCAGTGCCCATATGAAGACAGCTGCGGTTCCACAATGTCAAATGCCAACAGATATGCCCACCACCTCAAGTAGTCAAGATCTTGTGTACCCAAAGAGGCGGCTACATAGGAGGACTATTACGACCCTATCTTTATTACCAAAATGCCACACAGTCATCTTTCAAGCAACAAAAGGCTCCATTTTATTTGTGGATTTAGTGAGGAAACAAAACAGTGCAGAAGCCATCATTTCCTCTAATTTGATTACCATGGAAAAGAAAATACTTCCTTTCCGCTTTCTTCCCTCGAAAATCAGATAGTGTGAAAGGACAAGGACCAAAAAGATAGATCCTCCATAGTCTGCATTTTCTCACACAATAAAGCCCAAGTAAATGAAGATACTGCCAAGGATACAATCAAAGGGCATTCAATTGAATGAGCATCAGAATTTATTCTTTCAACTTTCCTCAAATTAGGGCTGCAAGTTGGGTTGGCCCAACCCAGCCCAGCCCCAACCCAACCTCAACCCGAATCGGGTTGGGTTGGACCAACCCGAATCGGGTTGGATTGGACCAACCCGAATTGTACTTAACATGGGTTGTGGTCATAACCCGAATCGAATATTTTCGAACAGATTGCGTCGGGTTGACGGGTTGAGTTTTTTTTTAATATATATAATTTTTTTTTTGTGAATATATATATATATATATATTTAGGGCAAATCGATTCGGCCTCCCCAATCGCCGCCTCCAACTCTCTTCTCGTTCCCAACTCTGAACTTGCCTTCTCTCTCTGTCTCACTCTGCAACTGCGAAGTACTAAATCTACAAGAATCAGAATTTCAAAACCTATATATTTCAGTTTATCTATCTGTTGCAATAATCAAAAGTTCAAAACCGAATATTCTCAGTGTTAATTTTATTTATTTATTTTAAAACCCAGATGTGGTTCCTCCAAATCACCACCACCACTCGCCGGAATCTGATGCCAACTGCAAAGCTCCTCCTCCTCCGCCGCCACCCGAAGAAGAAACCGTCAAAGAAATACCCTGCGAAGGTTTCAAAGAGACGGCCGTCCTCTGGCGAAATCGCCGGAGCGAGGGAGAGGAAACCCAGATCTCCAGCGAGGAGGCAGGCGCCATTGCCGGAAAGAAGAAGCAACATCACATTGAGGCCTACTCAGGATCAGACAACCACGACCAGACGGCTCAAGCAGAAGCAACCCAGATCTCCGGCAGAGAGAGAAAGAGAAAGAAGAGAGAGGAGAGAGAAAGGAGAAAAAAAAAAAAAATTTAATTTTGGGCCAACCTGAATATGTCTAGGTTTTAACAAAACCCAACCCGAACATAACCCGATTTGTGAATTGTATGTCCAAATTTCAAAATTTCTGGGTTGGGGCTGGGCTGGGCTGGGCTAACCCGCCCAAGTTGCAGCCCTACCTCAAATGGTATACTCGAATCATCAGAAAGGTGAAGAGCTTTAGATAATATTACACATATTAAATACAGTACACCTCTGGTACTCATATCAAACCCATCCAATCACTAATGTGAATGATCATTTCCTTGTTAATTGTTCTGGTACAAAATCCTAGTAATAATACATATTTTTTCCATTATCAATGCTCCAACATGGATAACAAGACGATTTGATGGTGTTATAAACACATGCATATGATGTTCACTTCCCTTACAAGTTCTAATTACAAAAACCACTGACTTTACAATGTGCTTGACAGATAATCTAAAAGAGATCACAGATGTTCTGTATTTTTTTTTTCATTCCGTAAAAAAAATTAAAAAAATAGTAATAATACCTCATAACGGTTAAGGGCTTGCTAACTCACCGAAGATCTACTACATCAAACTTCAAATTGGGGTTCATAAAAACATGAGAACAGTGCTCATATATTGGACTTCCATCCTCAGGCTCCTCGTGTGGATGAAAACCACGTTGTTGACAATTTCGAATAATAGAAACACCACTAGGATCGGACAAATGAAAAATGCCATGCGGACTGCAGTAGCATAAAAGACAAAAAATGAATATTAGTGCCACAAAACTTTGAAAACATGCATCAATTCAAAATTACTTATACAGAAGAAACGTATGCATTCATGAACAAATGTGTATAAATAAAAAGGTCATTATCCAGTGCCAACGCAACCTATATTCACAGTGTTTGGAGGGGAAGACTGGGCGGAAGCTAACTTTTAACACCGTTTTGCACAAAGTAACTACAGTGAAAATCAAACATGCATCTTCATGCTAGTCAACTTGAGAGAGAGAGAACTGACAACCTGCCCCTTAATAGTCAGTGAGGTCAGTCGAGCAATGGTGGTTATATATTGGAGATTTCATTGGGGCAACGGAATGGTTGTATAGGACGTTCAACATACTATCCTACCTCCCACTGTTCTGTTAATCTCATATGAGATTAAGATCAATCTGGATGATATTAAGATCCAGAAACCCAAAGTTGAGACCTGAAATTTGGATTGATGTAGTAACGACCAAAGGGCCAAGTACACAGTGTCTTTTACCAGTTCCTGCCAATCCTCCATCAATGATTTATGGATTGATATATGATTTGATTTTAGGAATCCTCCATCAATGTATTTCCATATTTATCACTTGTATATGGAGGTGCTGATTGTAAACAAGATTAAGAGAGAATATAACAAAAGTGATGTAGCCATTTGGGCTTTGTGTGTTGTGTTCTTCATGTATAATTTCTCTCTTCAAATTTTATATCTTTCAACAAAAATAAATCACTGTATATAGCAGTGTCTAACTACAACTTCTTGGTCCATGCCAGTTGCCAAGTCAAGGTGAGTCGAACCTTTCTGCAGTGTGGTTTGTAACTACATATATAGCAGATAAAAAATTTTGCACACGATATATGAACGTCACATAATTCACTCGTGCAGCAGTCAGAGATGTTGAAGATAAAATTTTAAGTTAAAAACACACACATGCGTGCAAACATACATTATCTAAGTTGACCACTCAAAATTATTTGTTACTAAAATTCATGCATTTCCCAAGCAAAATTCTTGAAAGACTGTTTCAAAATAGGATACAAGGAAACTGGGAATCAAAAGAACAGTACCTGGACGTGTCTGTAGGAGCCATAACAATTGCAATTGCTTCTGGTAACATGATCTAAGAAGAAGCCACAAACCAGATACTTCAGTCGAGTACAATTATAATAGATCACACATAGGTCAGCAGAGATAATAGAAGTAAAGAACCAGTAATAGGCAAGGTCATGTGCACCGATGGTGAAGAACAGTACAACTATTCGCAGGAATTAGATAACCTAAAAGAATAGTACATTCTTAACTTACTCTTGGAATTAGCTGTTTGTTGAAAACCAAATAATCTTTATTTTACATATCAAATTAATCATCTATTACAAAAAAATAATAATAATAAAATAAAATAAAATAAAATTATACGCCTGTGACTAAATCTCCCTTGGAATATGAATGGTCCCAATGTAATTGTTGAAGGGTAAATATCAACACAACTGAAAAGGGACACTAAGGAAAGTATTTTCGCAAGTTTTTCAATATTTTTTTTGATCCAATCTGAAAATTCACGCCAATTTTCAAATTTTCTTGAACATATAATATATAGCTGTCAGAAATACTTGGTACTTAAAACTATGAACATTTTGCCCAAATTTAATAGCCCTATTCATCAACATTGACCGGATTTTTAGCTGAGAGAATGAAAATATAAAAATCCTTTATTTTGCCAAAATACTAATCCAGAATTCTTCCAAATTCCAACAAAACTCTGTTGTTACAGCCAATTTATTTCTTCCAAACTTTTTCCTATACGAATGCAAAATACCCAGTCAGAATCCAAATTTCGCCAAAATTACTCCCAAGTTTGGAAAATTTTAATATCATGGATATGTGATCATTTTTATGTGTCTGGTATTACAACATTCATATATTTAATATCATCCATTTGTGAGATGGCTGTGAGTTTGGCTCCATAAGAAATATTAGACTCAGGCTGAAATCTATACAAAGACTCAATAAAACTATCCAAATTTTGTTAAGACTTTCAAACATGCCATTGCTCTCTCAGCTTTTGTGCCTATATGTGCATGATATCCGACAAATTTGGAATTCAGAAATTATTGACACTGGAGATTTAGAAGTTAAAGAATTAATTATGACAATGTACGTATATACAATGACTTAGATAAAAACACAGCAGCAAATTTAAATGGGAAAAAGCCATGCATGTTTAATATAAAAGCTAATGAAAGACGGGACTAAAACACAATATGGCTTCACAAAGGATCAATCAAGGTGGGAGTAACTATGAACTTATCGATAAAAGATATTACATATGAAGAAGAATATATAGCAATAAGCATGCAAATAATGCCAAAGGTCAAGTTTGTATCCAATGTGCCCCTCCCAGCACCTCAATTAATGAGGACACATAGGGTAATGAGCCTTTATTTCATAGCAATATGCATGCATGAATAAGTTTTTACCTAGCAATCAAACTGAGATTTACTTTTCTTTATGAAAGGTGGGGGTGGGGGGAGAGAGAGATTGCAAATTCACATCAATTTTGCATGTATCAAATCAAAATTTTCTAGTTGAATCACACAGAAAAGTGGGCAAAAAAAAAATCCAACTTCAAACTCATGATAGTACAAGTAAGGCACCTTTCAAATTAGAGAACAGGTACATCTATGACTACAAACTTCAAAGACCAACTCAAAGTAGAACTAAACATTGAAGTTAATGAATAAACATCACCCAGAAATACAATTTCTCACCTGATATGAATAATGAGTGTGCAGATCAACTGATGACATAAAACAGGTTTGTGATGGATGAGTCTGAAAATCAATATATGTATCTGTTAGCATATTGATTCCATATATAAAGAAAACCAGTTACTTCGAATGCAAGATATTAGACAACAAAGTTTGTGACGTGTCGGCAAGGATATTGTGGCACTCACATGAATCCAGCCGAGCTGGAAAAGGGATAATTTGTCTTGAACCTCAAATATTTCTTCTTCATTCAATGTCTGACACTGAACATTAAACGATGCATCAATATAATACTAAATAAAAACTGCCAATGCATGATCAATAAGATATCAGAATTAAATTAGAGACTTTGATCAATGGTTGCTCGGATTTCTGTGACCATGAAGTCAAGCGCAAGCTTGTATTTTAACACTTGTTATAGTTGGGTTAGAATTATCAACACGTTATTCACACCGTATCTGCCTCATTTAGAAAACTCAGAAACAGGATAGCAACTCTTTAATTTAACCAGTGAAAAAAGTTTTTAGTATTTGCCTCAGTGGCAAAAGCACAGATAAACCTCTCCAAAAGGATCCTCTTGGGAAAAAGAAGATAGGAACTTTCATAGGATACACCTCTCCCTCCAAAAGGATCCTCCTGGGAAAATAAAGATAGCAACTTTCATAGGATATATTTAAATATCATTGATGCTGAAACCTCCTCCTCCTCAAACAGTGACAAGAATCAGCATTCAGAGTTGACAACATATATATATAATAAATATAAAAAACTAAATGGCAGCATTAAGAAAACTAGAAAAACAATTTGAAAATATCAAAAGCTGAAACTACAAAAGGCTAATAAAACTGAACCAACTAATCTGTGAGAACTATTTTCTTACCGAGTCTGAAGTTGACTCCTGCTTTGGGATTATAAGTGTAGTGATATGGAATACCCTGTTTTTCTACAGAAAGAATAAAAAAGAACATAAGAAATTACACTTATAAAAAATCAAAGATAGCAGCTTTTTCATATTTTCAGAAACTTTGTGCTAATTACCAGTGAGCCAGCAAGAACACCACATGTTTCTAAGTTTTTTGCTGTATTTGCTTGTGCCAATCTCAAAAAATCTTCCATCATCTTTACCGACTGCAATAGGAGTAAAATGATATTAAAATCACATTTATCAACAACATAAATACGCAACATTAAAGAAGTTTGTCAGCATCAACTGTTAACAAAAAAATTGTAGCTCAAAAATCAGCACACAAGCCATACAATGTGTAAATGCTGATAAGAATTAGAACCAGGAATCTCATCCTTGGACGGATTCGCAGGCCCGGGTCTTGGATCCGCAACTCTTGATGGGGAGATTGGAACAATATCTGGTTGTACTTGAGCAAGTACAGGAGGTGGAGAAGGTTGCCTGATATTGCCCAGTGGAAGATAATTTCTCCTTGCTTCAATATTAAATGGAGGACAGGAATCCTCTGAAGGAGATACCCATCTACCATCATCTAAGGAGAGCACTGATTCCATGGTAGATCTATTCACTTCCGAATTGCCATCTTTTACTGCCACGATGTCATATTGTCCAGCCTGATTCAGACTATAACAATAGGTGACAGCAGATAAAAAAATGTTACAAGCAGGCAACTTTAGGAAAATAAAATTAGCATAAAGTATCAAGAGCAATATTTGAGGCAGTTCTTTCAAATGCTACAAAAAGAATATTAAGTAGAACCTCAAACCAGGTACAATAAAAGAAGTAAGAATTTGCAGGTTAAAATAGGAATCATCGAGTTTTGTTGAAGTCCTGACCCCGAATTTTCATCTGCAGTTAAGTCCGTATTGCTTGGATAATGAACCTGTATTACATAATGGAATTGATCAATTCAAGGAATTTTAATTTAATACTAGATAAAATGCCATGAATGAATTTTACCTTTATCTCTGCACTAGGACCCAGCCACCGACCTTGAAGACCATCTGGGCCTAAAATTGAGTGTCTAGACAATGTTTCCTTCTTGGGAAGAGGTAGACTAACAGATCTGCAGTCAACCATATACCATATGTAACCCTTGCGAGAATTAGAAAAAACAGAGATGTTTAAAATTTTAAATTCACATTTACAAATCAGTATCAACAAGATACAGCCTATTCTTCTTCAAACTCGTGCAAAAAATCTTTTGTACGCAGTTTAGATAAAAGCAACAATCAGAGAAATTAAAAATACAAATCGAAGGAATACAGACATAAAAAGTTATGGAGTATATGCTGGTGGAGATCTCTCAACCCAATTAGGAGTACGAGTCCAAAAAGAAAAATTTATACCTTCCACTAATGGAACTCATCTAAACCAATCATAAAGTATAGACCATATACCATGACCCAATAACATAACATAAACTGAACCGGGACTTGCAACTACAGCTCATAATTGAGAAAACCTACAAATTATAATAATACCCTTGATTCCGAAAACACGGTGCTTTTTTACCCCATATTATTTGTCACGTCATATTTCCATTTTTGGATGTCCTGCATAGATGGACGCTTCAAAAAATCAAATTATAGTTTGTTGTAAGATTCCTATATTACACTTTTCTAATTGAATTTGAATGCAACAACTAGCATGAAATTTTGAACAAAGGATTAGCCTTGAAAGTTTTTACTTTCACTTTTACAATGCATTCAATGCTTGCAAACTTGAAATTGTAAAAATGGAAAAAATAGTACAGGATGGAGTAAAAACTCATCTAGTAGCATATAACCGAAAAGATTACAAAAGGTATAAAAATGCATGACTCAAAAAGAAAATAGCATGGTCCCAAGTGTCTGCATATCATAGAACATGTGCCATATCAGAGCTTCATCCTTGGAAACATTCTTATAGTTGTAAAGTGTGCCTCCACTTCTCTCCATCATAATTCTAGCCTTCTAGGTATTTAACTCTCAAAGCTATGTTCCCATACCATACATCAAACCTAGGATGACCTAAAAGATCCACCACCCCTTCATAAGACCAACCGCAGAAAATTCCTGTAATCCCTCCAAACCCAACCACCCAACTGCTCCCATATTTCCCTCCACCAACCTTCTCCATAAGATATCCCAAATTAAACACCATCAATCCCTTGTTAACCAAACCTCTGCCAATGACTGAATAACAAACAACATACCATTGCATTTAAACTCATTCCTGAAAATTAAAAGCAACAAACTCGCAAAAGTTGCAATATGTTATAAATTTTAAAGATGGAATCATTGATCCTTCATTGTCCTACAGAAAAATCAAAACTCATACGCAGAGACACTTCTACAAGATTCTATGTCTGCATTGGACATTAACACTTTGCAAACACTCCTAGACATGCATTCAACACAATCTTTTGAGTTTAGTTAACACCATTGAGGACCGTTCTCTCAAAATGAGACATAAAGTACTCTGGAAATGGGCAGTATCACAGTAAGTGACAACCACAGAAGCCAGAAAGGAAAGTGGCACTCATGGAATAGGACAGAGAAATCACCGTTTGATGACTATAACTTCACCTATGACATATAAAGACCACATATTCCAGTAGCAACTTCCAAAAATACAAACTTAACAAGTTTTATAGAATGCACAAGCCAACAAACATTATTTACAGGTCTCAAAACTCTAAAACATGATGTTATCATTGAACAGTGTACTCACAGCTTCTGGAATTGCATGTCAATAGAATTTGATGGCAAAACCCGAGTCTGACCATTGTTCTGCATCCGTGAAGCCAAAGGTGTCGTCCTAACTGGCTGCGACCACAAGAAGAGAGAAAAAGAGTGAGGAGAAAGAAAGAAAAAAAAATCCGGTAAAACGCAACAAAATTTTGGAAGACAACATAATGACTGAAATTAAATTAAGAAAGAAAGGACACGACGACTTAGCGGACATTATAACTGAGATGCTCCTAGGAATAAGGAAAATAAATAAATGCATAGCAAATGAATCCATAAAAATTAAATAATAAAAGAACCACTCATTGAAGGATATAAAATAAGAAAAAAGAAAAAGAAATGTTCATAACACTCTAAAGTGAACATAAGTAAGACTTTAAAACACCATGTACTGGCTAAATACCTGCTTATTATCTATGCTCAAAGAATCTTTCCTATTGACAGGCGGCCATTCCAGAGAAAATGCATCTGAACTATATGTTCTTTCTCGGCCATCAAGTTGATAGTGTTGAGCTCTTGCAAAACCTTTGTTCATTTCATTCACTCGACGGTCGAATTCTGGCTTCAAAGATTCAAGCTCATCTAATACAGCTAACAGTTTCTGAAACAACAACATAACAGCAAGAAGATGCCGTGTCACCATGAATCTGAAACATATAATTAGAGTAGCTACGAAAACAGGTACACCCTACTCACCTTCCTGTAATATGTTCTCTCTTTTGTAAGAAAAACCTGGTAATCTCGATGGAATGGTATTGTTTCAGACACCAAACTGGGAAAATGAAGAATAAGCACATGCATCCATATGTCTCATAAATTCAGCAATATGGAAAAAACTGACAGCAACATTCATTCCTCACCTTGAATACCTAAGAAGTATGATATACAAGTCTACGATATTCCTTTCCCCCCGATAAATACTTGCCTGGACACAAGTGATATGCCAAGAAATAAAGTAATTTACATCAGAAAACAGCAAAAAAAAAGAGGCTCAAATTTATGTTGCTTAAGAAATTGAGTTACTGTAAATCGATGCTGCCAATATTAGTTCATACCTATATGACAATCCGAATAAGAACAGTTGGAGGGTTTTTAAAGCACTTTAACAGATTGACAAAATTCAATTACTTCGAAATAAGTCACTTTATAAATGAGAAAACATGTCCTTAAAGCTAATCCACTTTGAACATAACTTTACAACCATGTCTAACATGTACATGCTGCGGATAACAAGACACTTCAGATTTAAGTGCATTAGCAAAATTCAACATGGTATGTCATACATTCACAGAATGACACATACTACCAAGTCCGGTTTATCAAGGTTTTTGGAAGGAGCAACCGGCTCATCCTAAACTTTGGCATCATCGCAAACAATCTCATTCTACTGAAACTTATTAAGCTCCTGCATTGCATACTCATTCACTTCGAAATAAAGTTAATAAACACATCAATTACGAAACTATCTACTATAATTTACAACAACTCGATTACAAATAACGATAATAAATTGTCAAATTTAGACTATAGCAAGATGCTTTTAATTTTATTTTATTCTCTCTTCTTTTAAAAAAAAAAATGGTGTTGCTAGGTCGGAGCAAAATTTCTTCTGTCAGAACTAAATCAACTTTTTAAAATAAAATCAGATCCATTAAACAATGATCATGAAAAACAGAGATATATAGAGAATTTGAATATCGAACAGGTATATACAAATAACCGAACCTGTTTGAGAAGGTTATCGGCGATTCGATAGTAATTGCGGAGAGCGATTCGATTGTCAACGTCGATCTTTCGAGCGACCGCGTTCAAATTGAACGGATTCTCCGGAAGCGGCCTCATTTTCCGGCGTGAACAGCCGGGATTTGCCGGGAGGGTTCACGGCGGAGGAAAACGGAGTCGTTCCACTCGGCGACGTAAACACCGATTAAATTGAGAGATCGATGGTCTGGACGTGTCCGCTAAGTAAAACTCGTCGTATTAAAAGAAGGCTTGATTCCTATTGTTCAATTCAATCTTCTACTCTCGCATATATACATATTTTCACTGCCTCCATTTATATAAAATTTATACAGTATTAAAGAAAAATATTGTTAGCTGAATTTATTAATCCAATGGTAATAAAATAAAATCTTGTTGTCGTAATTTTTTTTTTTTTAATAAAAGATAAAAATAACACTTAATATTTTTTTATATAAACAAGTTTAAAACAAAAAGCAGTCTCATTGTAAATGTTGAATAGAGGGTGACATGAATTAATTACATTCACCATTGTGCTCTTTGTACCTCTATATACTTAAAAATTTCTTAATTGTGAATAATTAGAGCTACTTTTTATTAATCATCTCAACGCAAATAAAAAAATAAAAATAAAATAAAATAAAATAAAATTAGAAGGAAAAAAAATAGTTAGCAGTAAAGCAGAGTGCTAACTATTTAAAAAACAAAAAGAAGTGCGTCAAACAAGAATGTAATTAGTGAGTTTGTTTTTGAATGCCACAAGGTAGCCACACAACCTGGAGAAGACGAAAATGATGTACAAACAAGACAAATGATGTGCCTTCCGAATAAATTAAAGAATTTTAGGCTAATTGCATGGAATTAAAGTCTTAGAATTAGAATCGGTGAAATTAAAAAAAAAATTTTGATTTCAAATTATAAAACTCCAAATCTATGCAGCCGAACATGGCCTTAGAGTTCTCACTCTTTTGCTTTTACACAAAATCTGAAAGATTTGTAATATCTTACAAGCAGTAAAATTTTACAAATTATAAGCTGAAAAGTCAGAAATGGCAGTCTCTGTGATCAACCTAAAGCCCTTCCCCACAAATAGTTCACCTCACATCAATGGGGAAAAAAATACAAAATTGTTTACTTCAAACACAATGAATATTACAAAATATCAGTTAGTATGCTATATCCGAGTAATTTATTTCATTTTGTTGTCCGTGAATGTCCAGGCAATAACCCAGCCTTCAACATGGTCTCCGAACACATGAAAATATAGTATCACAACAAAGAATTGACTTGCGAACCAACTACTTGCAGAATAATGTAAATGATGTATCTTCTTTGAAACCCTAGAGATAATATTGTATAAAACAGCTGAATCCCCTGTCCCATACAAGGGATTTGGTCGTCTCACTCCAAAACACTTGAACTTGAAAGCAAGCAAGCAAAACAATCTGTCAACTCAACAGCAGCATCTACAATGAGCCTTCAGAGCCCATTTCACTCTAGGTTTTATTGAGAAACCGTCAATTTGCTCCTATTGGAAAACACAATAAACAGGCTCTTGATATAGCAATACTTCCGAATAATTTCAAATAGCTGAGTACTTGTTCTCTTTCTTTCTAACCCGCCTTCATTATACCAGGAAAAGCAATTCCCAGAACATTACTGCTGTTCAGAACTCAGAAGACGACAGATGCTGCATAAACACAACAACTGAAACTGGGATTATATAAATCTTTCATGAATTTTATCCCAATTTTAGGTCAAATCAATATATAAAATTAGAATAAATTCAGTTTTGCAAAATTCAACTAGTTTCAAGACGAGACATTTTAGAATATTTCTGCGTAGGGATGAAAGGAGTTCTACATCTATATTCAGCAAAAAAAAGAGTGAAACAATCCCACCAATGCCACATTCTGATAACAGGGTACACGCTACCGTAGATCATATTCAAATCCAAATCCTTTTTCTCATTTATTTGCAACATTTTTACACTCAAAATCAATCAGAAGGTCCAGTATCCTTCCTTAAATAATACGGAGTATATGTTGTTCCATTATTCCAACATTATATGCTGCCCCTTCGTTAGCCCTTCAACATAAGCACTCGTAAGGGTGGGAAATAATAGGAATGGTGCTGATTTTCATTTTTCTTCTAGCTTTTTTCAGTTTCGAGCACCACCTTTTCCCTGCCCATTACTCATCTTAAAAAGCTGAAACGACCAGCACAGTCTCCAATTTAGGAGTTGGAGGTTAAGGCACTCTCTTTCGAAGGGGATAGGTTGAAGAGTAAATAATTCAAACATCTGATTATTCTTACAGAGTTGAGCTAGTCCAAATTATTCAATATTGGAATAATCTTCTTTTGTCAATCATAATGCCCTATTCAGTATGCTTGTATCAATACTTAGAAGTCATTTTAAATCCACTATTCACATGTACCAATGATATTGATCATGATGCGCTTTGCGAGACACGCGATATGCAAAAAATTTAGACATTGGCGAAAGACTTCAAGGGGTAATTTTTAGGAATATTTTCTTATTTTAGGGTTCTAGTATCTGATAGGGATTTGAGTCGTTTGACTATCTAGTAGTTCTTTTATTATGTTCAAGAAATATGCATGGCTTTGGTATAATAGTGATTTACAGCTTTATGATTGAATATTTGATTTACTAATGTCCTTTCTCTCTCTCTCACACACACAAACATTCTTTTTCCCCTCCTGTGTCACTATGATTTCAACTAATTCTTAGATCACAATGGCAAAATTCACTTAAAAGGTGAAAGGGTTGAGATTCAAATTTTAAAAAGCTCCATATAAAGGGACGTTATAGTTACAGCAACCATAACTATTATGATTCCAACAAATGGCATGCTAGGAAATGCTGGAACGCTAGAATACCAGAATCTCAAATTAGTTTATCATGCAAATAACATAGTCCACGCCAGCGAAATTTATAAGGAATTGCAAGCATTTATAATTGGAACTCATCTTTCTGCAGGCATGGCTAATGATAGGCATTCTTATAACAAAACAAACCTCAACTCAGTTAGAAAAAATAAGCCAAGGAATCGCAAGAATTGACCCATGTCATCACATCAAACATTAGTTTTCTTAAAAAATAAAAAAACAAAATTTATCTTTTTACATAAGATCATTAATTCCTTCAAAAAAACTCAGCTAATTATACATGAAGAAATCTCCAGGATAGTACACACACACACACGAAAAGAAAAAAAATTTAGCGCAGATTAAAAGAATTTTTAACTGCATACTATAACTATCCAAATTCAGAAACTGTACAAGGATATCCACCGGGAATGCATGCAGCAAACAGCTAGGAAATAAGGGGGGTGGGGGGAAGTTCAGTGTGGACAACATTGGAGTTCGTGTTATGTACCTGAAATGTACTTGATTCCACAATGCAGCAGGCAACATAGCAGCCTGGTAATCGATAGCTCCACCTACTTTCAGAGCAAAAAGCTCAACGTAGCAGCCCAACCTCATGAATATAAATCATAAGAATCTGAAGAAAACCCCATTATATGAGATAAGGATGGGTTATAACATAATTTCCCTCTCTTTGCATTTCTTGACTATATCCTTGGCCTCTTCAGAGTAAGCTGACTGAACTAGGGCATCAATCAATGAGTGACAAGTATAAGCATCAGGAACACATCCATTTGCTTCCATAGAGAAGAACAAGTTCGTAGCTTCATCAAATCTCCCCGATTCACACAATGCCTTAATAAAAGCACAATAAGTAAAATTGTCAGGACTCAGATCTGAAGTCAACATGGTTACAAGAACCTTCTGGGCTTTCTCAATCTTATTCATTTTATATAAACTTTGGATAAGAGCATTGAAAGAGAATATATCGGGTCTTATTCCATCATCTTGCATCTGTTTCAAAAGTTTCATTGATTTGGCAACATCCCCCACAATACATAACGAGCGGATCAAAATATTACATGTGACAGCATTTGGAATGATGCCCCACTCTGGCATTTCTATGAAACAATCAAAAGCATCCTTGATCTGGTGCATGTGACAAAGGCCATCAATTATTGAACTAAAAGTGAAAATATCTGGTCTGAACCCTGTTCTAAGAGCATCTCCAACAACTCCCGTGCCTTACCTACTTCCCCAGTCTTGCAAAACCTGCTAATTAGAGTATTGAAAGTGACAAGGTTAGGAGCAATATTTCTTTGTTGCATCCCTCTGAAGGTCTCCAATGCTCTGTCCATCATTTTAGCTTTGGAGAAGCAATCAATTGCCATGTTATATGAGAAGACATTTGCCACAAGTCCATCCTGAATTATCTTATTTAAATACCGAGTACCTTCTTCATCTCGTCCGGACTTATACAGAGCCTCAATGAGAAGAAGAAAAGTATCAAACCCCATTTTCACACCTCGATCAATAAAACCATCGAGTATCTTACATGTTTCCTCAAGGTCCAGTCCCTTCATAATAAAACAAGTTATTGTAACATTAAATGTTGAACTGTTAGTAAAATAACCTTTCTCGCTAGCCTTTTTCAAAAACCCCGCCGCCTCTCTTGGCAAAGAATTATTAGAAAGAGAATGCAATATAGTATCACAAGCTACTTTAGGCAAAACCGGCTTCCCCTCCACAAATGTAGATAACAACTGAAATGTTTTTTGTGGAGGTAGACAACGAAACACACCATTAACCAATGATCTATACGTGGCTTCATTTGGACTCACATTTTGCTCCCTCATTTTCTCTAATATTCTAAACGCTCCATCAACCCTTTTTGCATTACAAAACCCATCAATTAGTATCGTATAAGTAAACACATTGGGTGAATATCCCAAACCATCCATCTTTTTCAGCAAACGCATTGCCTCATCCACTACACCAATTTTACAAACTCCATGAATGAGGATATTATATGTAAACCTATCAAGATTGCAATTATCCGACGGCATCTGTTGGAATTTCAGATAAGCCAAATCAAGTGAATTGGATTTCACTAATGCATTATACAACCTAGTAGTTGGACTAAGACCCAAATATGAAATTTGCCCGAAAACTTCATCACAGTATTTTGCCAGCCCTAATCTCCCCCAACTACCAATCAAAATACAAAACAAATCTTCAGTAACCTGACACCCAGAGCTTCTAATATCTCGAATCAACTAAACTGATAAGACTACCCGACCTTTTCTATAAAGGGAATTAGCTAAGACACCCCTAATCGATTCATTTCTCGCGAATACAGGGTCGATATTCGAAACCCAGATAT